TTGAACCTGTACACTAATCTCATACTTTACTCATAGAGTAAAATTAACTCTAAATGGATCATAAATCTAAACATAAAAACTAAAACTATATTAAAACTTCTAGAGAAAAACACATTAAAAATTACTACTGTCTTGGAGTAGGCAAAAATTACTTAGGACAAGAAAAGTACAAAAAACACAAGAAAAATAAAGATAAATGGGACCTTATTAAAATTTAAAATGCCTGGCTCTTCAAAATATACTGCTAAGAAAATAAAAAAGTCAGCCATAAACTCAGTGAAAATATTTGTAAGAAATATATCTGACAAAGGTTTTATATCCAGAATATACAAAGAACTTTTATGATCTAATAAGAAGATTAAAAATGGGCAAAAGATTTAGACACTTCACAAAATAAGACATATAAATGTCCAAAATATATGAAAAAAAAAGCTTAACATTGTTAGTTATCAGGAAATATAAATTTAAATCACAATGAAATATCACTGTATATCCAAATAAAATGGCTTTAAAAATACTGACAATACCTAATATTAACAAAGATTGGAGTAAGTGGAGCTCAAACACATTGTTGGTAGGAAAGTAAAATGGTCCAATCGGTTAGGAAAACACTGGCAGTTTCTTATCAAGTAAATACACTTACCCTTTGATTCAGCAATTTCATAAGCTCAGTATTTACTCCAGAGAAATGATAATACCTGTCCACATAATGACTTATATACGAACGTTCATAACAACTTGATTCTTAATAGCTAAACATTTGAAAAAACCTGACTTCCCATCAACAGGTAAGTCAATGAACAAATTGTATTATGTCAATATAACAGATTATTATTCAGCAATAAAAATGAATGAATATATATGCAACAACATGGGTATATTTCAAAAAATTTATAGCTACATGAAAATAAAAGCCAGGCACAAAAGAGTACATAAGGTATGATTCCATTTATCTGAAGTTCTAAGACAAAAATATATAATGACAAAAAACAGATCCATGGTTGCTTAAACTGGGTGGGGACTGGGAATATTGACTGCAAAGAGGCATGAGGGCATTGTGGTGGTGGTGATAATAGTGGGTACTTGGACATATGCATTTGTCAAAACTTACCAAAATGTACACTTAAAATACTTTATATGTAAATCATATCTTTAATTTTTAAAAATAAAATATATCTATATATACTCATTTTAAATGTCCATTAAGATACCCTCAAAATTATAAAACAGTAGCTTTGCATAGGTGATATTCCAAATATTTAACAATTGGGGATTATAATATAAGCACCAAGTAATTAAAACAAATTGTAGGTATGAGCAATTGGTATAGCTAACTCATGTGAATGAGACAACTATTAATTCAGAAAAACCATAGTTACCAATAGGTGGTGGGATTATTGATGTCCTCTTTCTTCTCTTTGCTTATCTGTATTTTCTAATTGGCTATCCATATTTTTAATCGGGTACTTTAAAATAAAGGGGAGGGAACCTATTTTTAATTATAAAAAAGAAAAATGGTGCCCTGTTGATATCACATCTTATACTGTTATAAAATTTTAATGGGTCTCAAAACCCTAATGGAACTTTTAAATAATAGATATGAGAAATGGTATACTAAAACAGCATTGAATTGGAAGTTAAAAATGGATGATGCCATAAAAATATTTCCCATCTACTATAAAGAAAATAGTGAGATGTATTTTTAAATTATTTTACCATTTTAATATTTTAAAATGCCCTCCCTCAGCTCCTGTTCCAACTAGATCTCCATGTAATTGATTATGTTTAAGAGAGAGATAATATCTTTCCTTAAATTGTCCAGCCTCTGAAATACCATACTGCTCAAAATTCATTACATAGTATTTTCCAAAGGGTATCAGAGGCTAGGTCAAACTTCAGAATCTTGCTGAGCAAACCAAGAAATCAAATGATAATTATCAACCCTGGATAAATTTTTATAGCAAAATTACAGCTCTTGACAAGGAAAGTTGCTGCCATCTCCTCCTAGCATGACTACCGCCATCTCTCTGGCTTATCACAGCAACAAACCTTTGCTCTGAGCAGTTTCTTCAGAGGTAAGCACCATAAAAGCCTCGCTATAAGAGCCATCGCGGAGATGCTATGATCAGCAAATAATGACCAGGCAGTTCCCTTTATCATGTTTCTCTCCATCAACAGAGAAACTATACCAGCTCCCCAGTAGCCCAGTAGAGAGTCAACGTCTGGTTTAGCAACATGAGTTCTTTCAGAAACTTTGAAAACCCCAGGGTAAAATGATGCTACTGTACAATCTCTTAATGTTGCTCTACAGTGCAGCTCAAATTTGTAATTTTAAAAGCACCTCATCCCACTGTGAGATCACAGTTATCCTTAATGATTTGCAAATCTCAGTGTTTTTAACAGCTCATTTTTGTACTGTGGCCGCAGTGGTAACACCTGCACCTAAATAGTTATTGCTTATAATACCCTGGGCTCTCAGGATGTGCAGTAAATGAGAGGCAGCAGCAGTATCTTCTACTTTTTCTAACCTTAATTTATTTCTCCATTTGAAATAAGCATATTGAGCCCATAGAGCAGCCATGTCAGCTCCCAGAGCCCATGCCACCTTAGCTCATGGAACAGCTGTCACCAGCAGAGGCTGACCACCCTGCTCCATTACATGGAGAGAAACAAGAAGATGGTAGCTCAAGGCCACTCGTGTCTTTCCCTCTGGAAGTTCTGTATATTAACAAAAATAAAAATAAGTATACAGAAGTTTTCATGAGACACCCAATATAACATTTTTGCGAGATATTCAACTATAAATTTCATGAACAAATTCTGCTTCACCCAGACATGTTAGTGTCATTCACCCTCTAAATAAGCATTAGAATCACCTCTATCATTGATATAATAAAGCATTATGTAATGATGTTTCTTATCTAGTTTTAAAACATTAGGTATCTCTTACATCCTAACAATAACGGTTCTGTATTCAACAACTACATGCCTAACATTGTTGTATGCTTACATGCATTAACTCATTTAATTCTCAAAAGAACTCATTTTTCTGAAGTCAGGATTTGAACCCAGCATCCATCTCTGGGGTCTTTGCCATACTGGGATAGATCAAGAATCATAGGCCCCATTTCCCTAGAGAAGTGACCTTTTTATAGTTACCAAGGACTCAGATGGAATGGCTATCCTTCAAAATGTCCCTAAGCAGATGGGAAAATCTCCCGTGTTGTGCGTATTCTCATAACTGCCTTGCCTTACCTGCAAAGGCTTTTGTCTCAACAGAATATGGTTGGCTCTGTGGGAAGAAAGCACCAGTGGTTTTCAAACCTAGAAATGGCCCCACTGTGATTCTGTAGGTTTAAAGTGCTCTCAGCAAATTCTCTAGGGAACATACCCATTCGCCACAGCTGATGGTCACACCTCACCACAGAGAGGTCTGCTACATGGAGGTTGATGTCTCTCTATAATTCTCCCTCTAAAACCATTTGGAAGAAATGGAAGACCCACTTCCCCAAGCCCTTAACCACTTTCATTCCCAATAGTCAGCACCTATGGTCCCTTTGTCCGTCTGAGGCCACCCCCAGGCTGCCAGACCCTGCTTTGCCCACAAACTGGAAGAACCAGAAGGATCCCTTCAGAGCAGTCCTTGGTCAATGACTAACAACAGGAGGCATATAAGCACCCCAGCTCCCGCACCCCTGATGGGGACAACTCCGAGATGTGATTACACTGTCTTCAGAGTTCCTGCAAGATCCTGCCAAAGTCCCCAGCATTGCGCTGGACTTGACATTGCACCCTCACTGGGTTCTCCTTCCCTTCCCAGTTCCACTTCCCCACTCTTACTGGGATTTCTAAGATCACTTCATAATAAATCACTTTCATGGCCATCATAGCCTGGGGTCTGCTTCTGGTGTCAACTGAGAGGGACAGCAGAACATGCAGAAGATGCCTCTGCAGTCCCAACTCTGTATAATCTGAACAAGCATCTTGGGTCATTAGTCATCTGCTCCTCTCAGTGGAAACCTTGTTCCTGTAAAACAAATGGATGATCCACTGCACAGTCCTTGTTCATTCCTGAGCTTACTCCTCAATAACTTTTAAAAATTACAGAACTCAAGTTATTGTGAGAGAGATGGCCAGAGTGTCCTCGCATAATATTACTGAGGGAACGTTGAATGTTTTCCATCTAACTGTGGCTTCAACAAAAAGAAAATACAATGGATTCAATAGCTCAAAAACGCTCATGGCAGCTTGTGAAGCCAGATCCCTGTTCTACGTAACTCCATTCTGCAACAGTGAGGTAGAAAGGAGAGCCTTGTGAAGAATACCAGCCCAAATCCCTCCTTTGACAGTCTTGAAAATGAACCAAATCCTTACGTTAAACATTTCTCACAGAACCTCTAAACCTTACTTACTTTGCCAAAGTAAAGATCAAAATCTCTACAAATATTCCTTTTTTATTTTTTTAAGAATATTTATTATGTCTCTTTGTGATAGATTTTCATACCCCAGGCCTAAAAAGGAATTCCACATAGAAATCATTCTGAAAATGATTAACATTATTTAATTGTAAGTATGAATAATTAAAATAAATTCTTTCTAATAAGAATGCACTGCATTTCAAAAATGTTTTTTAAAATATAAAATGTCTTTAAATGCGCCCATGTCTCATAACAGAGAAATAAAGGCCCACAACTTCATGCGTACGGCGTGGCTAGATGTGATGCATTTCAAATCAACCAACGAACGTGGTCGTAACGGAAGACCTGCTTCATGCCATGGGTCAGCCTAACTGAATAGATATAATTCCAAGCTGTTCCTATCCATGTGGACCGAGTAGAATGTCGTCACTCTTATTTGTACATGACTACGCGTGTTCTTTCCATCCTGTAATCTAAGCACTGATTTCCGTAAATTCCTAGGGAGTTTGAAAGAGACTTCTCCAAAAGGTTCCAGAGCAAATGTCATGAGCTGTTCAACTGGACCCGGCCAGCAGCTTCGAGTTAGGATTGCACTTGGGGTGATTTGCTGAGGGGAAAGCCACCCCCAGTAAAACGAGGGCCAGTTGGTTTGCCCAGTGGGATGGCGACGTCCATGGATGTTTTGTCCTTGTGTCTGTAAGAGAGGAGGTGAGAGTTAACCTCCTGGACATGGTTTTCCTCTTTTAAGTCTGGCGTTCTCTAAGTTCACAGGGTGAAAACTGCTTTATTAAAGCTCCAGCTTTAGTCAAGGTAGTTGTTTAAGATCTAATTAGGTGTTTGCTGGTAACACACAGACTTA